GAATCGTGCCTTACAAATGTAAGGTTCTTAAGACAAGTCGGAGAGAGTGTCTCCGGCTCAAATATCGGTTTATCGGACAACTTAGGATTGGGGGTCCTAAGCGAAGGATAGTGCAGGTAAAACCTAGTAGATTAAAGTGAAGTCTAACTAAGTACATGACCAAGTTTATATATGGACGTAGGTACTTTAGGGCTGGTACGTATTCGTCATCAAGACGAGTCAGAGATAAGGCCTACGTCATAGGGACGAGTCAGAGATAAGGCCTACATCATAGGAATGAGTCATCTAGTGACGGCTGTTGCGGTCGTGATGTAATACAACAGATATGGTGAAAGGTTTAGCCTAATGATGGCGCAATGAGGCGCGGTCATGACGTAATACACAGGAAGAGAGAGAGAAAAGAGATAGGGGTAGTCACGACTGTAACAGATGGAAGTGGATAATGAGGTTGAACTGATGCAGGAATTCTGACCATCGAGCCTGACGGTGGGAAAGGAGTTTTGTGGTTGTGAAGTACTCAAGGTTTTTGTAGTCCGTGACAACATCCACAGGCTCGGAAGAGCCTTCCAGGTAGTGTCACCAGGTCTGGAAAGCTTCATAAATGGCTAGGAGTTCCTTGTCATGGGTGTCATAGTTGAGTTCCGGAGCGGAAAGCATATGGGAGTAGAATGCTACCGGACAAAGCTCTGAGTCCGGACATACAATGGAAAGTATTCCAGCAATAGCATAATCAGAGGCATCTGTTTCCACAACTATAGGAACGTCTGGCATCCAGTGCGTCAGCACTGGAGCGGAAGTGAAGGCTTTCTTGAGTGTTTCAAAGGATTTCTGGCAGTCCTCAGAAAAGTTCCAAGGGACATTCTTGCGAGTTAACCAGGTGAGTGGGACCACAATATCTGAGTAGTTGAAGATAAATCGACGATAGAAATTTGTGAATCCAAGGAAAGATTGGACATCTTTGACTTTCCGGGGTTCCAGCCAGTCAGTGATAGCTTGGATCTTCTCAGACAACATTGTAAGGCCATCCAGAGATAGGAGGTCTCCAAGGTATTCCACAGATGAGGAATGGAATTCGCATTTTTCCGGTTTAGCATATAGGCGATGCTTCTGGAGTTGATGTAGTACTTCTCGGACGTGTTCCTTATGGGTTGCAAGATCTTTGGAATAAATGAGGATGTTGTCCAGATACACAACAACGCATACATCCAGCATATCCGCAAAAATGCTATTGACAAAGCGTTGGAAAGCTGCTGGGGCATTGGTAAGACCTTCCGGCATAACCAACCATTCATAGGAGCCATAGCACGTCTGGAAAGCAGTTTTCCACTCATCTCCTTCTGCTATCCAGACAAGATGATAGGTGGACTGGAGGTCGATTTTGGTGTAAACTTTAGTGCAGCTCGGAGAGTCTAAGAGGTCAGAAATGAGAGGCAAGGGGTAACGGTCTTTCTTGGTGATCTGGTTGAGGCCTCAGAAATCCACACAAAGTTGTAGGGAGCCATCCTTCTTCTTTACAAACAGGACAGGGGCTCTGTGCAGAGAGGATGAGGATTGGAGGAGTCCAGTTGCAATGTTCTCATCAAGGAACTTGTGGAGAGCTGCAAGCTCGACCAGAGAAAGGGAATAGATAGTTCCGATGGGCAGATTAGCTCCTTCTTCCAAATTGATCTTCAGATCATATGGACGATGAGGAGGAAGTTGACTAGCTTTGCCCTTATTGAAGACATCCACAAACTCCTGATATTCTGGAGGTATTCTGGAAAGATTAGGGGCTTCGGACAAGAGTGAGGTGGACCGGAGATCCAGTCCGGAGGGGCAGAGATAGATGCTGAACTGCTTGGATCCTTCCATCTTGCAGGCCTGGCAAAAGGCAACTGCATTAATGAGGGAAATATGCGGACTGGATTTATCAGCAGAGGGTTCTGGTGTAGTCGGAGGAGGGATTTCCGCTGGAGGAAGAGGTTCCAGAGGCAGAAGTGACGTTGGAGGGGTTGATGGCATTCCATGAGGTGTCATCCAGAATTCGATGCTGCCCAAAGCCCAGTCAATCAACGGATTGTGTCAGGTGAGCCAGCTATATCCAAGAACAACAAAACAAGATGAATCCAAAGGGGTAACATAAAACATATTGGAGGTAACTACACCAGATGAAAATTGGACAGGGAGGTCTATGGCTTCAGAAATATTGTTATTACAAGTACCATCAAATAAATGAAGTGGAAGCGGAGGGATTCTTTATGTAGGGATTTTATATTTTCGGACAAAATTTGTATCTATAAAACAATGAGAGGAACCACAATCTACAAGAGATGGAAATTTGGAAATACTGGGATACATCAGAATCGTGATATATGGACAGAGTGAAGTCGGATCGGAAACAGAGACAGCGTTAAGACGTAACTCCTTTGTATGGGTTGAGATAACGTGACCCCCATCCCATATGGAGTCAGGAGGGTCGTGGACTATTTTTTCACCTCGGATAAGGCTTCCGGTTTGGCTTCTGGAGTGACTGTAGCAGCGCAGCCTTTGGCAGTGCATGAAGTCGATTTGTTGCAGTCCTGGGCAGTGTGTCCGGGTCCACCACAGAATAAGCAGAGCTTCTTATCTAAACGCCTCTGGTGTTCCTTGGAAGTTAGTTTTCCATCCTTACCCAACTTGGAGGTAAGGTCCGGGGCCCTTGAAGCGGACGAGGTAGAGGACGTAGTGGGTTTTCCGGGTTTATGTCCAGAATTCTGATTTCTGGATTTGTTACTTCCAGATCCAGACGAGTGGGAGCTGGTCTGGTCAGAGGCTGACTGCTTAGGAGGAGTGGATGAGGAGGGTTTGGTTTTGTGGGAGATCTCTCCCTTGTGTTCCCAATAATGGGCATCTATGGTTTGTGTGAGGATCTTGTATTCCGGGAGGGTAGCGGGTTTTCCCATGCGGCTGATTTCGTCTTTGATATGAGCCGGAAGTCCATTATAGAATTGTCGGCGTAGGGCTCCATCGCCCCATCCACGGACTTGTGAGGCAAGCTGCTGGAACTCAACAATGTACTTATTGATGCACTGTCCATCGTGCATATTGAGTTGCTCGAGCTGCATTTCTGCGTCTCTGGAGGGGTCATGAGGTCCGAAATTGGTCTGGAGTTCAAGCATGAACTCGGAATAGTCATCCATCCAGTCTGGATGATCAGTATTCTCGTTGGAAAGGAGGTCCAGTTCAAACCATTCATGGGCCATGCCTTTGAGATAGGATTGGGTGAAGTTGACCTTAGACCTTCTGGTACAGAAAGCATTGGGTTTGCTTTGGAAATTGAGTTCACACTGGACAAAAAATGCTCGCAGTTTCTGGGGCTCGGTGCCATCAAAGACATCCGGCTCACAGACTTTGACCTTTGGGTCTTTGGAAAGGGTGGTGTGATGATTGTTTTGGGTGAGGTTGTTGATAGCTCTGGATAGGAGTACCATGACGCGGTCCTGCAGATTCAGGCCATCATTTTCATCATCATCATCATCATCATCATCCAGATCATTGTCTGGATTTCCACCATTCCCATCTGGCGGATTTCCGCCAGGGGTATCATCATCATTATCATCATTGTCATTGTCGTCCAGATCTCCTTTGCCCAGAGGAGCTAAGGCTGGGGTCCATGTAGGGGTTTCTGGATGTTGACAACTCAGGAGTTCTGAGATGCTTCCAGCAGTAGCACGCTGGCTAACACGACACTGAGAGAAGCTATTGAATGTTTCGATGATAGGGGTAGAATCCTGGTGGGTGGAAACTAGTCCGGCCGCTTGGAGAGGGTTTGTTGTTTTGGTAGGAGCCATGATAGATGTAAGTATACTCGGAAAGGTGTGAGTTTGAATATACTGTTAAGGTCATGTGCTCAAGGGGGTCGGATCACAAGGGCTTGGCCTCAGCTTGTATGCTGTGCCCCTTTCCCGAGTATGTGCCCTTAATTTCCAGGGGCTAGAACAGTCATCCAGAGTTTCTGGGATTTGACTAGGGCAGATAATGGACATCCAGATCTGAAACATGAGATAAATCCGATGGACGTCCGGATGTTACCTGGGCAAGCGGATAAGACTAATCTGGACGAAGTCCAGACTAGAAACTAACAGAGGATGGACTACCCTGAGGTAGAGTTGGAAATGTAGTCTAGGATGCAATCCTAAGACTCGGAATATGACAAGAGACTTATCTCGAGTCCAGAGGAGGACACAGGAATGAGCAGGAACTAAGATGATATTTGAACTGGAGTATTTCCGAGAGTTACAGGAGTTTTATATACTGTAGGTAACATATAGGAATCAGTCAGCAAACATAAAGGCTATGTACAAAGCATATGCAAAGTCTATTAGTAAGTAGGACGGATCACAAATAATGAACACCAGAAATGAAATGTATGTAACGGATCAATAATCAAAAGGGAAACATGGTTAACCAGAGTCTGGAGACAGGGGCAGTCTAAATGGAGTTGGGCGCTGATATAGGGTTTGGATTCCAGAAGGGAGATAAAGATAGATCAGATCATTTGAGATCCGGATCTCGGATCTGGATATCTGGAGAAGTGGATTTAGAGTTGAGAGTCCGGAATGGCATATGACACAAAGTCTATTAGTAAGTAGGACAGATCACAAATAATGCATATCGGAAATGAAATGTATGTAATGGATCAATAATCAAAAGGGAAACATAGTTAACTGGAGTCCAGAGACAGGGGAAGTCTAAATGGGGTTGGGCACTGATATAGAGTTTAGATTCCGGAAGGAAGATAAAGATAGAACAGATCACTGGAGATCCAGATCTCAGATCTGGATGTCTGAAGAAGTGGATTTGGAGTTGAGGGTCTGGAATGGCATATGACAAACAGCATGAGCCTTCTTGAGCAACCTCTTTTGAGCCCCCAGCTGAAGGAAATTCTATATGTAAGTTCCTGTCATGTTCTTCTTGTACATAAACCAAGAGTTGAGGTGTGACAAGGACATGTGCAGTGCTTGCTGCAAAGATGTATGGACTGTCCCTAGGGCACCTTCGTTGTTGTTGTTTGTTGTTTTCATGTAAGCCATCTCTCTTTGAGCAGTGGATGACTTATCTATCACTCCACCAGCAGTGAACTTGCCACAAAAGTGGACCCAAGTGTCAAGAGCACTTTCCAAAAATATGACAAGAAGACAACAAAGGTGAGGGTAATTTTTTTGGTCTTGGGCAATTTGCTGGATTGTGTAAAATGCCTCTGGACACTCAAATGACCTACCATCCAGGGTTGCTGTTTCATGAGAGGCGCTTGGACCCAAAACAAGGTCAACATCCACAATGAGACATTGTAGGTGAGCAATGACCTTGGCATGAATGGGCCCCAGGTCCAGTATGTTGGTGGATGAATTTTGGATGGTTCATAGATATGGATGGGTGAGGCATTGGTTATATGATGCCCAGCATGTAATTTCCTCCTCTGTCCTGAGACATGAGAAGCCTCAGAAGACATTCTGCTCCATGTTCGTGTGTGTCTGGCTTTCTTTTTTGAACAGTATGATCTCCAGGAACTGCATGTACCAAGATTTGTGAACAAGATACTCACATGTGGCATCACCATGGCTGTGATAGTGAGTGTTACTTGTGTTGGGCCATTGACTGGTGAACTGTTAAGGTTGTACTCAAAGGGTAACTGGATCTGAAGGGCTTCGGCCTCAGCTCGTGCACTGTGCCCCTTACCCGAGTATTGCCCCTTATTTCAGGAAGGCAAGCCTAGCACATCCAGAAGGTCGGACGAGTAGCGTAACGGATCCGGATGACTTCTGGATGAGGGATAAGTATCGTATGGCTAATCCAGACAAGTCCAGACTAGAAACTAACAGTAGTGGACTGTTGGGGACAGAGGTGGATACAGATAGACTATAGGAATCAATCCTAAGTCTCGGAGGGTGACGAGAGTAGAGGTACTCAAGTCCGGAGGACAGGAATGAGTAGAACTAAGATGATATTCAAACTAAGGTGCTACAGAGAGTTACAGGAGGTTATATACTATAGGTATCTAACGGAATGATCAATCAGCAGAGTCCGAGGCTATGTACGAAGCATGTGGATAGTCTATTGGTAAGTAAAAACGGATCACAAATCATGAAACAGAAATGAAACATAGGTAGCGGATAAGGGAGCAGGACGGATATACAGATAACTGAAATACCGGAGTTAGGGGGTTACTGAAAGGAGACAAGCACTGGTTGTGGATTCGGATGAGTTGTGGACCGGACTGGACGAGTGGACAGATTGAATGACAAGATGTTGGAGGGGGATAAGATGTGGATAGCATCGGAGATAAGATGTGGATCTGAGATAAGGGTCAGATCTGAGATCCAGATATGCGGATATGACATGAACCCTAACTCTGTCTTGAGATAATATTGAAGGGAGTCGTGTTGGCCCTTTTTGTCATCCTTGTGACAAAATACACTGCCCACAAGATCCAAAGTCTTCTGCCCACCTCCTGTTGACACCTGAACAGCCTGATCTTTGGCTACTGAGGAACCCACTGATGCTGCAGCCACATTGTCCTTATTCATCAATAGGACAGGGCCATCAACACTGTTCTGTTCCCACCATGCTTGCATCCTTGTATTCCCCCCTTTAGCCACATTTAGCTCCTTATGCATGCAATAGCCTGCCCACATGAAAAGATCCATGGCCTCCTTTTTGGCACTTGAGAGGGATGCAAACTCCTTCTCTCCAAAGGTCATGTGCAGTTGATGGATGGCTTTGTTAGAATGGAGCTGCCACTCATCTGGAGAAAGCAAATCCCATTGCTGATAGCTGCCTGCAGTCTCAATGATGTTTTCCATCATTTCTGAAAGTAGATGCACAACATCAGCTGGAGGTAAGCAGGTGAGTGCCTTTTCACCACAAACTTCTCACTCGCATTCTTGTTTCCACTCTGCAAACAGATGAACAAGCTTCTTCTGGTCTTCAGCATGGTCTGTCAACATTCCTTTGACTTTTGGGGCAAAATCCTGAATGTCTGCAGCATTGTGACCCCCCATGACATCATTGTAGGTGGAGTACATTTCAGTAGCTTGATGTTTCCACCCTTGCAACTGAGTCTCACTAGTGTGGTTGACTTCATGCAGAATGCCTGCCAATCAAGTCGCAGTTTGCCCATCTGGCAGAGTAAGAGTGATGTGGTAGGACTGGTAATTGATATTTTTGTGGGTGGTACCATCTCCACTTAATGTAACTCCTGTTTTGCAGGGGTTGGGGTCAAGATCTCTTTGATTCTGAGTCAAATAACTTGCATACCTCTTGCACAAGTGATCTTGTCAACTAGCTGTGTCTCTGCTGCAATACCACCTTCAGTTACCATCCAGCAAATACTGTATTGGCTAGCATCTCCCTCCACCTCAACACCTAATGCCTCTGCTACCACATTGATTGTGGCATTGATGCTCTGAAGAGGTATGTCCAGATTTGTGACCAAGTCTCACACCATCGCATGGGATACATTTGTAAACATGCCTTTCTCCTTGAGAGAAGAGGTGCTGGCAGCTTCAGTGGCAAGGATATTCCATGCCTTCTTGTTTGCATGTGTTTTTGCTGCCAAGGCACATGTGACATGCATTATGAGTGCATGGTTTTGTTTGGTGAGTGACTCGTTTTTGTGGTGCAGGTGGCTGATGCTTTGCATAGCATTATCGAGATGCTCTCATGTCTTCTTGGCTACTGCTGTGATCTCTGCATTTGACAACTGCAATGAGTGCATCTGCATCTGCAGACTTGCAGCAGCACAGTCCTTTCGTGTGGCCCACTTGCACTCACTTCAGTAGCACCTCTCATAGGTAATGGCTTTCTCTTGTTGCATGGTGAGCTCATTTTGTGTCCATGTTACAGGTCTAGGAGTGGTGTTGCCGAAATTTGGGTTATTCTCTTTTTTTGTGTGTCTTTGAGTCTAGGGATATAAGGTGAGCCTTTTGTTTGCTAGATTGTTTCTTTGAGGGATTATAACAGTCACTTGTAATATATCTCTGTGTGATGAGGGCCATTGTGCTTGGCTTGACGTGTCACAACATGTCATGTCACACTTAATCTTAATTAGTCAGCACATATTTGGTGTGCTTCAAGATTGCATGGCCACAGATGATTCAGTCACACTATTGTGGTCAAATTAGTATGAGGGGCTTTTTTTTATATCTCAACTTTGTATTCTCTGAAAAAAATCAGGAAAAAATCTGCATTCTACCCCATTTGAAAATAGGATCACTGTGAAAGCAACACCTTTGCATGTTTTGCCTCATAGAATACAAGTATCATCATATTTAATGTCCATCTGCTTCCAAGGTTTTTTGTTACAATGTGAATGTTAAACACTACCATGCAATATTTCTGCTGGACATTGATTCCAGCTGTAGAGCAGGAATTGGAAATCACAGTTGGAGTTTAAAGTTGGCAGGGTCTTGCCCATCCCCACTTCATGTTTGATCCCTCTAGCGTGAGAAAATTATGTCATCAAGTGAAGATATGGTTAATTTAATTTGGTGACTCATTGAGATACTTTTTTGACTTTCAGTTTGACCAACACAATCTCTATAATTCTGGTACTTGGTGTTTCCTCCTGTTGCTCCAATTACTTCTGCCACTCTTCTATGCATAATATCTATCAATTTGAGGCATTCCTCATCAACAATCTTGCCCCACTCTGCTGCAACTCTCTCCCACAGCTGAAATAACCCCTATTGAGGATCTTGATAGACTGCAAGTGATATCTTGAGTAATTACCAGGGCTGTTTAACAGGGTTGAGGTCTGAGGACTGGACTTGCCATGATAGAACACTGATACCATAGTTTTCATATTCTTCTTTGTCATCTATGACATCTGGGGGAGGGTTGTGGAAGTTTGGACCATGGATCTCTGTCTCATGATAGGATGATAGCTCGGAAGCGTGGAATGTGGGATGAACTTTCCATTGGGGTGGTAGCTGGAGTGTGAATGTGATAGGTGACAGCATGGTGATGATAGGGAAAGGGCTGTATCATTTCAGTGCAAGCTTCTGTGATGGTAGCTGCATGATCAGATTCTTTGCTGATAACCAAACCTTATCTCCTACTTTCCACAGATGATATCTCTGTCTGTGTGTTCATTCTGCCATTCACTGCATAGCAATGTTGTGGCAAGATAACACCTCTTCTCTGGATTTCTGAAGCAGATGAAGTTGTTCTTCTGCAGCAGGTACTGTGAAGTCAGGAAGAGTGTGCAGAAGAGCCCACAGTTTGTATCCCATCATAAGGAAGAATGGAGACGTGTTTTGTGAGTTGTGTTTTTGATGGTTATGGACAAATTTGGCTATAGGAAGATGCTCAACCCAATTCTCAGGGTGATTGCAGCAATAGATGTGAAGATAAGTCTCAAGTTCCTGGTTGAGATGTTCTGTCTGTCCATCTGTCTGGGGGTGATAAGTGGTTGAAGCAGCAATATCATATTTCAGGAGCTTGGCAAGGGCTTTCAAGAACTTTGATATGAATTGTGGACCATGATCAGAAATAACTTTCTCATGCAAGCCAAATTGGTGATAGACATATTTGAAAAACTTCTTGGTGACACCTTCAGAAGTGATGGTTTTTGTGCAGGGGAACAATTGAGTGTTTACCACCTAGGCATATGAGACAGACTAGATATCATAGTGTGCTGCTTCAGTATGCAAATCTTCAGAATTACCCCCTTCATAAGGCCATGGTTGACCATGGCCATAACAGAATCAAAACCTGCACACAGGGGGAGGTCAGTGATGAAGTTGACTGAGACCTGAGTGAATGGTGCAGCAGCAATGGATGGAATGGGTACAAGGGGAGGTGTCATAGGATGAGTATCCAACTTCATTTGCTGACAAAGGGTGCAGCCCTCAACACATTTACAGATATAGGTGCCCATTGAAGGCCACCAAAAATCCTGCTTCAGAAGTTCTTCAGTCTTGAAATGACCAGGATGACTGGCTGAGGCATGGCCATGGCATCATTCTAAAATAAGACACCAACCCACAGGACAGATGTAGGCATGATCTTTAAAATAAAGAATATTGTCCTTTACTGTCCAATTGGCAAGGGCAGATTTCATAGGTGGAAGAGACAAGCCATCAAGGGTGGCTGAGGTGGCACTGAAAATGGGGTTGGGATCTGAGTGATCTGGGTTTGCAAGGGTGGTCATAAGTTTGACATCAAGAAGGTGAACAAACATAGAGGCTAGGAGAAGAGTAACGTCTTTGTTATCATCAGATCCAGTGCCATGATCGGGTCATCATGAAAGGGCATCAGGGGTGGTGAGTTTAGTTCCAGCGACATGGTGAAGTTCTATGTCATAGCAGGAGAGTATGAGTTGCCAATGGCCTGGTGACGGGTTAGCTTCTGGGCTGAGCAGAAGTATAGGAGATTCTTGTGATTGGTGAATACAATGATATGATGAGGGTTTCCTTCTAGATAATGAAGTCATTCAGTCAGTGTGCGAATAACTGCAAGAAGTTCTTGATCAAAGATCTAGTAATTGCGTTCTGCTGGGTTCAAGGTCTGCGACAGGTATCCACATGGGTGAGCAACCCTGTTTTCATTGGTCTGCAGTAGCACTGTACTGGTAGTGACTAGTGAAGCATCAGTAGCAATGGTGAACTGCCAGCTAGGGTCTGGATTGTGGAGGACAGGCTGCTTTAAGAAGCATTCCTTCAGTTTGGTGAATGCAGAGGTGCAGTGGTCCAACCACAGGAATGTGGCATTCTTCTTGGTGAGGTTGATCAAGGGTCTGGTGATGTCGGAATAATGAGGGATGAAGTTTCAATAGAAGTTACAGAACCCCAGGAATGACCAGACTTCCTTCACTGTAGTGGGGATAGGCCAATTGTGAATACCATCAATTTTAGTGATATCCATCACAACACAACCAGGGCATATGATCATACCCAAGTATTCTACTTCCTGTGCATTGAACATGCATTTTTCTGGTTTCAAAAAGAGTCATTCTGTGCAAATTCTTTCCAGAATGCATCAGGTTCAGATGTGGTGATTAGAGAGGTTGTTGGAAAAGATCAGGATATCGTCCATGTAAATAACTAACCATCCTTCATAATCTCCTGTTGGAAAGTGCAGTTTATGTAGGCTTGGAAGGTAGCAGGCAAGTTGCAGAGGCTGAAAAACATGATGTTGGGTTTGAAAAGACCATACTCAGTAGTAAAGGCGGCCTTCCAGCAATCATCAGGATGAATCTGGATGTTATTATAACTGGAATGGATGTCCATCTTTGTGAAATATTTAGCACCATGCAACTGAGTGACAAGTGAGAGCGGCAATGGGAGAGGGTAGGCATTCTTAACTGTCCAGTCATTAATATATCAGTAATCCTGGCATGGACAAAGGTCTTCACTTTTCTTTCCAACAAAGAAGAAGCTGCTTGCTTGCAGTGACTTTGATTCAGAGATAAATCCTTTCTTTATGTTTTCGTCGATAAATGCTTTGATAGCAGTGCATTCTGCTTCAGACAGTGGGTAAACCTTTGATGTTTTCAGAATAAAACCAGGTTTTGTGTCTATGCAATGATCAATACTGGGGCATTCAGGTGGCAGTTGATTAAGACTGTCTTTAGTGAAGATGTCAGAGAAATCATGGAGATAAGAAGGAATGAGTTCTTTGAATGATTTCTTCTTCTTCTCAAGCCTGGCTGCCAAAGCAAGTTGTTGGGCTTTGTTACTGGTTTTAATGTATTTGGTAGGTTGTGGCAGAGGTGTAACTGTAGGTTTCTGTTCAGTAAAACTAGTACCGTCTTTTGTTAATGGAGTATTCATTGAAAAATTGGTGATGACTCTGAGCTCAGTAGCACTGGTGGAGTATTCAACCAAGAATTTATTATCATTGAGGTAGTATGTAGCAAGCTCGCATACTGGAGATGCATAGTCTGAAGTCCAAACATCATCTTTGGTGTCAAAAGAGTCATCATTGTCGTCAGGGATGGGATCGAGGTTGGGTAATACTGGGGGTGCTTCTTCATCTGGGATCTCTTCAATAGTAGCCTGGGGAAGTGGTTCTAAAGGTGTCTTTGGCTGTGCCTTAATCAGGATAGACTGAACAGGAGGCACCTTCGGCAGCACTACCACTGGAGTTGGGTTTTTCTTAAGACAGGAGTTTCCCCATGTCTTATTGATGGGCTTTTGAAAGAGAGGCTGAAGGCCATTCTTCGTTTGTTCAGTGTCAATGTCTTCTTCAATAAGATCACTCTTCTTAGTACAAGAGAGTTCCAAGGTTTCTGCCTTCCATCAAATTACTGGATCCATGGTGTGCAGCCAGGGAATCCTGAGAAGAATCTGATCACAGTGGCCAAGTCACATGATGTTAAACTTTCTGATCATAGATCACTCATTGATTTTTACAATGAGGACACAGTAGTGTGTGATGGCACCCCCCTTTGCACAACTTCCATCTGCAGTAGTAACTTGGAATGGCTTCATGAGTTTGTGTGTGAATGTTGTGAAGCTTGACAAATTCTTTGGAGATAAATGTTCTAGCAGCACCAGAATCAACAATGGCTGTTGTTTTGACAATTTCTTGACGAGTTTTAGAGATAAGAGAAATGGGAATGCAAAGTTCCTT